CCCCAAAACCCCAAAACCCCAAAACCCCAAAACCCCAAAACCCCAAAACCCCAGAATGATCATTTGTAATTGCTCTGTTAAATTTTAATTTCAGTAATAATCTCTGTTCAAATATTTGTGGTTCGATCCCACATCTTTGGGGTGGCATTTCTTCAGGTTTTGGGATCTGACATATCCAGAGAAACAAACCTTTTGAGGCTCTAATTTTTGAGGCGCTCTCTTCCAGTCCTCAAAATCACTACTGTTGTCTACATTAGCTTGCTTATTATTCATAAGTTTGTTCATAAGTACTAAGGTTTTCCTCTTAAGACTTATCAGTTCATTCCTCTTTGTGTTCAGCATGGTCAGTCTTTCTGAATCACGGGAATTACTAGAGGAAACCCTTTCATTATAACTCTCCCTATTTTTCTTCAAGGCAGATTTAAGACCATGATTTGCTCTGATCGGGTTCTCCTTTAACTGGACTTCATTAGTCAAAGAATCAGTTATTTCAGCAATTCTTTCGATATACAGAACAGTATTAGCATTTCCTTCACATGTGTCATAGAGATAGCAGATATCCTTATGGATGAATTTTAGCATATCAATGGCTTTATAGTCAAAACTTTGGATTGAGAGTAGATCGCTCACTATTTCTTGTAGTTTAAAGAAGTAATGAGCATCATCTTCTTCATTGACATTATTAATAGAATCACGAATTGCATTATTTCAATCCTCGCAACTCACTTTGAAGATGAGTTATCTTACTCAATTTTTGTGAATACTTCATTGTTGTTGTGACTAAAGAGCCTTAGAACAGAATTTACCTCTTCCACAGACTTGTGAATGATACATAACCTTATCCTCTGGAATATAAGTGCCACAGTTCATTCACTTTACGTCAACAACTTGAGAGCCTCTCTTAAGAGTTTGGTCAATAGATTTTCTAAGTTCATAAAATTGTGAAAGTTACCCATTCCTGTATAAACTCTTTCTCATTGTTGATCTTGAAGTATAAGCTGAGCAGCTAAGATTATCTCTGCTGCCTGACTTCATTGCGGAATAGTTATATTTCCTTGGAATTATGCATAATCCTACCTCTTAACTTCGGTCGGTCTTGACTCTTGTTTCTTGCCAAATTTCTTCCCTGGGGTAGATGCTACAGGTTATAATGGACATACTGGGAATAAAATTCTGTTGTTTACTAATCCTAGCCTTTTTGCCATATCGAGAAGGGGCTAAAACAGGGTGGATCTTTTTATTAATATTTGCTACACTTTTCCTTTGGCCTAAACAGTTGATAAAAATGAAAAATTACCCTTGTCAAACTTTGAATCACTGTATAGTTTTAGCTGATTCCTGCCTTCATGATTGTCAATCTCGCTATTTTTCCTCCCTTTCAATGGTAACTTTGAATAATTTGGCTTTATCTCTCCCTAAAATGTCTAAATTCATATCTTTACAAGTAAGTTTTTGTGATTTGATTGAACTGTTTCTCGAACCAATTGATGACTCTCTGTCAGAAGTAAGGTCGATCTTCACTGACCTTGTGTAATGCTTCTCCCATTTGTTATAATTAGAGGATGTTAATGGACTACTCTCAGGTTTAGACTCTTGAGGATACATCTTTGGTACCTTCAAAGCTCAATTTGAATTATTAGCTAAAGTAACTAGAGATATTTACCAATCTCTTTGTATTCATTCAAGTTATACTCAAATACTTTCTCTTTGGGACTTCCTAAGCTTATCGGATCGCTATTTGAATTTCTTCACTACTCATTTACATTATAAACCTTACATCGAGAGACTACTGGTGATGAGTAATCTTTTTGAGCTGGTTCATCAACCTTGATGTTATTATTATCACAATAAAGATTAACCACCTTAGCTGGCTTAGGCTTGAACCCTGTATTCCTAGTATAAATTTCATATCTAGGCTGATACCCTAAATGCTTTTTCTCTTTGAACACTGAGGGAGTTTTCTTTCCATCTCTGTGTATCTTATACTTCTTCTAAAATCTAAGCTGATGATTACCTTGGCCAAGTCTATGGAAGATATAGGACTCATATTAAAAGAGGTGGTTTCGTCCTGGTCTTGGTAATTGGGCTCGACCCTTTCTTCCTGTTTCCTAAAAATATGTCCAATTCCCACCAGTTTAGCTTACTTGGCAGAATAATTCCTGAAGGCGATGATATTATTCTTCCTAGTTTTTCTGGAATTTAGGAGATGACTTACTGTTCTTCTATGTCCTTGCTCCGATCACGGGTTTTATTTGAGAATATGGGCTGGAGATGTAGGTGAGGACTTATTTTTGTAGATAAGAATTTTGAAGGGTTTGGATGAATTTTGATGATCTGAAATAAACCAACCAGGAAAGATATCGCACCAAGTTTGTAAATTGGAAATTTTTGAGAAATTTAGAAAGGATTTGGGTCACAAAGTCATTTAATATCTTGGGATTCTCTATTTTTAAAGATTGAAGAGAGTTTTGAACTAAAGAATCTAGATTTTGAGCCTCTTACCTTTCTCCTTCCTAATATCATTAAAAAGTACATCAAATTCTGGACCCATATCAACAGTAGCTGGAGGCATTGGAGCTGGTCTTTCAAAATTGACTCTCGTCTCTAAACGAATAAGCTCAGGTTTAATATTTCGACATCTTGGGTGAATCTTACTTGGAGAGCTATACTTCTTCACCCTATTCTTTAAAATCATCTTTGTTTTCCCAAAATATTATTATCAACCCAATGTATTCTCCTGGGGTTTTGGGGTTTTGGGGTTTTGGGGAGTT